ATATTATCAAGATAAAGTGTTTGATCCAAAGAGTCAATAATAATGAAAATCAATAGTATTGATTGAAGTTACAAGATTATAATTTAGATACGGGGTTTCAACAGTCTATATCGCTTTGAAACTATAAACATAATTACAAATCAGTCTTACAGCTGAGTCGTGGATTCCATCGTTGTCATCATCAGTATCACAAGCATCACCTAGTTTGTCCTTATCTTGGTCTTCCTGCCCACTGTTGGGAATACTTGGGCAGTTATCCTGTAGAGCAAAACAATTTAATTGTTTATCCAAATTCATAATTTCCCTAATTTAGAAGAAGGTTAAAAGTGGTGGACTTGATTACGGTGTATAATAGAGGCCCAAACATGGGATGTGAAAAAAAAAAATTATGTTTGTTGAATGTTTGAACAAACATATGGTAAATGTGCCAAATTTTAACTGAACTTGGGTGGATGGGTAGGTGTATGGACAGATGAATGCATGAATTAATACATGAGTAAAGAGATTAACTAGCTGAATAACTAGTAGTGTTGTAACTGGGCCTGCTACCTAGGGTCACTACTCTTATCCAAAGAGTAAACAGCGTTATTTTACGTGCACACATGGTCATAGCAGCCTAAACACGAGACCAACGGCACCGCCGTCTTTCGAAAGAAAGAATTCACAGGGAGATCGGAGTACTTAGTTCTATGAGACAGAAGTGGCATTAAGATGATGTTATGTATATTCATGCAAACTAATTTAGTATTCATATTATTACAAATTCAACTAGGGTGAAGCTGATGTCTACTTACAGCTGTGCAATGGTGGCCGTAAGAGTCTTCGCATTTAAGATCCTCATCTGGCCAGCCATCCAGATCGCTGTCGCTACCACAAATTCGACCATTACCGGCGTAGCCAGTTTTACACTGAAATAATAGGAAATTGGATTTTTTGAGAATTTATAAAAAACTAGATGTAATTGAGGACCGGATGATTGAGGGCGCTCTAACCTAATTTAGAATAATCGACCTTTTTAATAATTGCCAGTGTCGGCAGTTAAAATAAAAAATAATTGCTGCAAGCCTGATTTATCCATTCATTTATTTTAGTTTAGTATCAAAATTGACCTTCCTAAATAGCGGATGGTGCCATCGTGATAATTATAAAATCTGTATAAATTACCTTGCAGCCGAACTTGGGCTGACTGTAAGGTCCGAAGAAAATGCACTTTCCGTTCTTGTGACAATCGTGCGAGTCTTCTGCACAAGGGTCAATTGGAATACATTGCTGTGGAAGAATAAAATATAAGAGATTTATGAACGTTACGTCATCATTGAAGACAAACAATAACGTTTTTACGTTCAATCATATGACATACCTTGTGTTAGAAATAAACAGCTTCATTTAAAAATTATATCGTACGCAACATGTGAAACTCGTAATATTTTAAAGAATTATGTATAATCATAATTTGCGAGATAAAGTACGGTAAAACTTTAAGTCTTACGTAACATTATTTTGACGGAATGTATTGATA